AAAAAGATTTCCGCAAAAAAATAATTTGGAGAGAAAATTGACAGTGTTACCATGTTCATTAAAAAAGGTTTCCGCAAAACAAATTTAATATTTTTTACGAAAGAAAATTTAATACTCGTATACAATTCTCGCATCACCAACGAGCAGTAAATACAAAATAACTAATTTCACGAATCCTTTGTAACAATTAATGTCGGTTAATAAAAAAATAACAAAAACAAATACAACGCAGAGAAACGTAATCTTTTATATCGAATTAAGGAAACAGCAAACAAAGAAAGCGTAGGTATCAACAAACAGAGAAAACATTAATAAAAAGACGTTTCCAACACGAGCGTGTACTGTATGAAACCATTGAATTTTGTTTCTTTAGTTTCCTTTCAAGTAGGTGAAACAACAATAGCCCGGGGCGGTAATGGGCAGGCGAGGGCTCGATTGTGAGCCAGCCCTTTGTACCTATATGAACTCTGCCCAAACGGATACGCACAACTTCGGGTTTGTTCTTTACTGGAAATCACTGTGCGCCCTATACATTTGGTTGTCCAAGTTTTGTGAGCTCATTAACACGACCGCTCTAATAAAACATCGCAGTGGATTGTTTGATTAGTGGAGATGAGTTTAAAATGGTATCTTACCTATATTCTTTTATTTATTATACATATAAACCTTCCTCTTGAATTGCTCTATTTATTGCTAAAAACCGCATCAAAACCGTTGCGTAGTTTAAAACATTTAACGAACATACAGCGGAATTGATTTCTTTTTATACTGTACTAGCTACTCGCTCCGGCTTCGCATCGGTGTACATGTGTTATATATATAAACCTTCCTCTTGAATCACTCCATCTATTAGAAAAACCGCTTCAAAATCCGTTGCGTAGTTTTAAAGATTTAAGCATACATAGGGACAGACAGCGATAGCGACTTTGTTTTATACTATGTAATGAAAATGACTAGCGACCCTTCCTGTATTCGCTCAGATGCTACAAATCTTTGAATTTCTCGACTTGTTCTATACTATAACACATATGTAAATATATATATTTCAAAGGTGATGGACATAGTGATGTATCAACGCACAGCCCAAACCACTGGACGGATCGGCCTGAAATTTGGCATGCAGGTAGATGTTATAACGTAGGCATCCGCTAAGAAATGATTAATTCTACCCCCAAGTGGATAAAATTGGTGATGAAAGTTTGTATGAAACTTTGTCAATTTTAAACCAATCGGGCTGAGACTTTGCATGCATAAAGCTACTATGACGTAGGCATCCCCTAAGAATTGATTTCGATAAATTACACTCCTAAGGAGATAAATTAACGCGAGCGAAGCCGCGCGCAAACTCTAGTTATACATAAACCTTCCTCTTGAAACTATTGCTGAAAACTGCGTTACTTAGTATGTAGTAGTATATGCGTAGCGTAGCATAGCTGATCTCTCAGTAAACTCAGTCACTGTTAAACTAGGGTCATCGCAGGTCTAACTTTAGACCATAGACGAATCACGGTTTAGAGATAAACTTCGTTTTGTAATAAGGATTACATTGGTGAATGATTTATTACTAGTGCTAAACCAGGTTTATTTTTTTTGTAATAAGACCGAGTAAGTCTGGTATCACTTGGATCATTTTGAATCTTTTTGTACGCAGAACTTTACATGACGACTTTATTAAAAAAAAATAATGCACATTAAACAATTAACAAGGCTTATGAAATGAGTTGTTCACTTTATTTACCGTTTGTTCTAAATACCTACGGCCTTACAAAAAAAAACTGTTAAAACTCGTACGTTTAAACCATTCCTAAAGTTAATACTTGGAATAAATCTTACATTATTATGAATCCAGATCTACCAGAGGACTACTTAGTACTACAGTTAAATCGTTCATTATGTATTCCATATAGAAATCAGTCACTCATCTCTGTTAGCGTACAATTACGTTCCGTTTTACCAGAAAACTGAAATGATCAGAAATACTATTACTTTAAAGAAAAATGTATGAAGTAAAAATAATTATATTTGTATTTATCTATGTCTTCATTATAATTATTTCATTAATATGTAATATTTATTAACGTACTATTAAGCTGAAAATCAGTTTCAAATTTCAAGTACACGGAGAAAAGGAACGGAGGAACTGCGAGATATTTTTATTGGACCGATCCGGATGGTGACTATTTCAAAGTCAAAAGAATGAATAAAATACCAAATAACGTTTTTTATATTTTTTTATTATTGTACAATTACCTTATATATTTTTAATTAAGCTATTTTTCAAAAAACAACAACTTATAATACATACAATATTTAAAAATGGAGTTTGACTTTTTGCATTTAGACCACTGTTAAACTAGGGGCATCGCAGGTCTAACTTTAGACCAGAGACGAATCACGGTTTAGAGATAAACTTCGTTTTGTAATAAGGAATACTTTGGTCAATGGTTTATTACTAGTGCTTAAACCAGATTTATCTTTTTGTAATAAGACAGCTATGGCCTTATTTACGTGGCTGGAGTTTATATTTCTTTTAGTTAGTTTTCTTTCTTTCTTTCTTCTTCTTATATTATCATTAGTTTTGTATTCATAGTGTTGCTGACGTACTGGCCACATACTTTTATAGTTTATATATTGACGACCTCGGTGATCTAGCGGTCTAGCACACCGCTTTACGTCCAATGGTCGCGGGTTCGATTCCTCGCACGGCACAAACATTTGTATTCATGAGTATGATTGTTTGTATCGGTCTGGGTATTTTCTATGTATAATATGTATGTATTTATAAAAAAAGTCTATGTATTTGTATCAGTTATCTAGTACCCATAACACAAGCTTTAGCTAGCTTAACTTGGGTCTAGATGGCGCTGTGTGAATTGTCCTGAGATCATTATAATGTATATTAAACAACAATATTGCATTTTTCTAAAAAATTGTATTATATATTTTTGTATACAGAACATTTTAATTTTAATTTCGAATAAACATTGTGACACACAACAACACATAGTAACAACTACAATTCCAACTTGCTAACTTCTCAGCCACTAAACGAATATTCATAACATTTCCACATAACATTTGCGAGTTGTAACGTTGTCAGAACTTCATATTCCAACAACAGTACGTTCGTACAACATGTTAACGTAGAATTTCCTTAATTGTACGCAATTTCCCCTTTTTATTGCTATTTCCGATCGCGATCGTTATTTTTGTCAGATTCCAAACGTATTCCTAACACGCAACAAGTGGCTGGGGAACTGAACTGCGTGTGTAAAATACATGAAGCTCCTCAAAATATTGATAACGTAATAGTATTTACTATACAATCTTATTTGATCTTTTGCAGACTGTTAGACATAATTCGGTATTACGTAGTTAACTCTAAAAATAGACTGAACTGTTAGAAAGTTTTGCTTCGTTATGTTTCGACGACCTCTGTGGTATAGCGGTCTAGCACCCCGCTTTACGTCCGTACGTCGCGAGTTTAATTCCTCGCACGGCACACACATTTGTATTCATGAGTATGACTGTTTGTATCGGTCTGGGTGTTTTCTACATATGTATAGTATGTATGTTTTATGAAAAAAAATATATCTATGTATTTGTATCAGTTGTCTAGTACCCATAACACAAGCGTTAGCTAGCTTAACTTGGGTCTAGATGGCGCTGTGTGAATTGTCCTGAGATTATTATTATTAATGTTTGTAATTTAGTTTTTAAATTCAAGTTTAACTTACACATATATTTAGCTGTATTGTGTAGTGTAATAAACTTTACTTAATAAGTAAATTACTTGAAGAATATTTAGAATTTATTAATAGGCAGAATGTGAAATATCCTTAAAATTTAATACGCCACTAAATCTATGATAATTTTTTTACAACTTGTTACATTAAAGTATAACGGCTTACAAAATATAACACGTGAATGTATGGCAGTAAACCGGGGTCGTAATATGAAAATATTAAATTATCGTGTTTGTCAGAGAGGATCCGCAAAATGGGGAAACTTTTATATTCACTTAAAAAGTCATTTTGCGATAGTGAGATACTTTATGATTGTTACACTTTGGTTGGCTGTAACACGATTTATGTTGTTGAAAATTAGTTTTTGCTACTCTAAATTCATTTATACAAATGTAAAATCTGTTTAATCAGTAAAAGCATATTTGGTGTGTCTCTTACAATATTTATATAGTATAAAACAAAATCACCGCCGCTGTCTTTTTGTACCACGTCGCTGGCAAACAGGCAACGACCCATCTGATGGTAAACGGTTATCGTAGCTTATGGACGCTTGTAACACTAGGGGTATCAAGTGCGCGTTGCAGCTCCTTAAGAAACCTTAATATACCCTTCTTGAAAAACCTGTCTGTTCTCTTATGTCCCTAAATTTAAACTTAGCAACAGATTTTAATGCAATATCCATCAGTTTGTCATATATAAAACAAAGTCGCTGTCGCTGTCTGTCTCTATGTATGTTTATATCATTAAAACCACGCAACGGATTTTGAAGCAGTTTTTTTAATAGATAGTGTGATTCAAGAATTGTATATATAATACATGTACACCCGTGCGAAGCTGGAGCGAGTAGCTAGTATGTATATATTTAGAAAAAATATGTTATCAGTCGTCTAGAAACCGTAATAACTTCGCTTACTTTGTTATGTTGATTCATTTGCGCTTCCGGAATGCGTTGAATTCACCAAGAATTTATCAATTATGGTTTCCAGGGGGGTCATGGAGCTGACATGATATATTGCTATCAAAGTGTATTAAAGAAATTATTCACATTATTGATTACTAGCTACTCACCCCGACTTTACACGGATGTACATGTATTATACATATAAACCTTCCTCTTGAATCACTCTATCTATAAAAAAAACCGCTTCAAAATCCGTTGCGAATTTTTAAAGTCTTAAGCATACATAGGGACAGACAACGACAGCGACTTTATTTTACACTATGTAATGATGATATCTGAACTTCATTACTCAGGTGAGATATTTCCCGAGTTGTACACAACAACGGCATCGTTAGACGATGAAGAAGAGAGTCAGGAAATAGAGGAAGAACCACCAGATCTGGAGGAGTGTGAGCCTTCACCATCACCACGGCCTGCGCTGTCCGCACTACCAGCGCCACAGCCGACACCAAAAGAAGACTCGTTGACTACCCTGGACTCTCAATATTACAGGTAAGATCCTCATAGTACATACCTTAATTTTAGTTGACTCAGAATTTTTTAGATGTCACTTAAAAAATTCTGAGACAACTAAAATTGTCCAATTGCATGAATACTACAATAAGAAAGAAAGAAAAAAAAAGAAAGAAAGAAAAAAAGAAAGAAAGAAAGAAAGAAAGAAAATATTTTATTCAGTGCAATGTAAAAAATACAATATAAACAATAAGCGAAATGAATTCAATATTTACGTTGAAACGAAATCTTGGTCTGAAGCTAGTCATAAAAATAATATTCAATGAAAGACATTAAATGATAAAGTATAAAGTATCGATGACTATAAGTGTTGAGAAAGACTTAAAAAAAGATTGATAGAATCAATAAGCAGTGATATCGCATGGTAGAGAGTCAGTAAAGCTATGGCAGATAATAGAAATACAGAAAAACATACTACACCGATTCCAAAAAAATATGTAATAAGAGAAGGTAGAATAAGATAATGGTGATGATGAGACGGTAATATTAGTAAATATTCTATTCTAGCTGTACACGCGACTTTGTCCGCATGGAATTTAACTTTATTTTTCTAAAATAATAGATTTTTCTAAAATAAAGCTAGCCTAAGTTACTCCTTATTATCTCAGATACCTGCCAATAAAAGTCCCGTCAAAATCGGTCCAGCCATTTCAGAGATTAGCCGGAATAAACAGACCGATAGACAGAGAGACAAAATTTGTGAAAAATGTTATCTTGGTGTATGTACGGTATTTATATTCATATGCATGTAGTAAAAAACGTTTATATCAATATTACAAATAGATACTCCTATTTTATTTATATGTATAGATGACATATGAACACATTTTGCATTTATGTATAACGTTGTTCCGAACTTAAAAGTCAAAACCAAAATTTTGGTGGGTATATTTAGTAAACGATAAAATTGATCAACATTTTATCGTTTACTACATTTCACAACTCATTTACCGCTCCAGCCGTATCAAAATCTACAATGAATTCACGTAGTGTTGTTTTGAAGCAAAATGTACACCCTAATTAAAGGTCTACGTTTTGTTAATTTTCAGAGTACACCTGTTTATTTTATCGTTGAAGAAAACCGATTAAACAGACAAGAATAATGTAAGCGTGTTTTATGTTGTACAAAAATTATTTGTTCCCTCAGTGTTTCTTGGATCGCCGCTGAATGAGTATTAAAATTCAAAACATTAACAGTGCTGCTATTTGTACTTGTATTGTTGAAGTTATTAGGACTAATTAACTAACTAATTACTAATATAAATATCTTTGGAGTAATTTGAAGTCTATTGTTAATGTATATGTAACTTTGCAAGATATCTCCTCTCGCTTTGCTATTATGAATATTAAAATTAATGATCTGCTTTAGTGTGCAGGTAATTTTGAACTCAAATTTGTAAACACGTTATGTTTTAATATTATTAATAATTTATTTATGACCTCTTTATTCATTTAAAAAAAGTATCTTAAAACCAATTAAACAGAATATACATTTTCAATATGATTATAATATAATCTGATTTGTTTCATTCGTTTCATTTCATTGAAATTTGATTGAATTGAATTGAAAATCGTTAAATAAAACAACAAACACATAATATGATATAATTTTGGTAGTTAATAAATAGTATTATGAAAATAAAAATAATATGAAGACTAGAAAATGTTTCTTCGGGTTTGAAACTTAAGATGGATACAAAGCTGACTGGTAACTGTAATATTATATAATAACTGTGACAGAAATGTAATATTATATAAATAACTATCTACTCATCTCGGTTTCGCCATGAATAAAGATATTTTGAATTTTGAATTTTTGAATTTTGAACTATCTACTCACCTCGGTTTCGCCTGCGTATACATGTGTTATATATATAAACCTTCCTCTAGAATCACTCTATCTATTAAAAAAAAACCGCTTCAGAATCCGTTGCGTAGTTTTAAAGTTTTAAGCATACATAGAGACAGACAGAGACAGCGAGTTTATTTTATACTATGTAATGATGATGTTAAAAATATACGCAAAAAATAAATAGAATAAATAAATATGCTAAATATAGTTGAAAGTATCTACTTGACTTGACGACTTCATTTTGTCCACTGTTACGGCAAACCTAATTATAGTTAATCTAATTTCTCCGTACTTTACTGAGCTTATTTTAATCTAATAAAGTTATTAATTCCAGCCTGAACATATAACTTTGGTCTCTCTATCCAGAATTCTAATTAATTTTGAATTTAATATTTGTCATTTGAAATAGTTATTTATTTTAGCATTGCATTGATATTGTAGTTTACTAAGTGCCTCTGGCTCATCAGATTGCTTTGAGTTTAAACACTACACTCACCGTTAAACCAACCGTTTCGAGGAGCTACCAGACTCCTGCATAAACAAGATTGATCGGCCGGCCCCGCTGCGAACACGTAATTCCACTAATGTGTTTACCTAGATGTTTACCTCCCACAATATTGTCCCGTTTTGTCTCACAAATAATGTCTTAATGCGAGTCATTTCTCTAAGGTCCCCGAGTTTTTTCAAGACACAACTGGATACGCGTGATAATGGTAATTGATGGCATCGAACTTCGCGCAGAATTAACTGGACTTTGCTCAGTCCAAGAATAATGGGGGTAATTTTTCAAACGAGCGCGAAGAACAAGTTATTATTACTATTTTTATCATTATTGGGAACATTGGAACATTCTGATTGGTGTTTCATCATTGTTAGAACATTTTTAGAAATGTTCTCAAATGTTCATTTAAACTTTAATAAGCCAATTGCTGTTAGCGAATTATTAACAGCATTCTTTACGAAATCTCGCATCGTTTGCATTAATAGAATTTGAACTGTCATCGGTGTTGTAAAATAATTATTCAAAGAGTGTTCCCAGTGATTTATTATTTATCTCTTTAATGTTATCATTTATTTTCTTGTGGACAGTTATACAGTGGCACTTGGTGTTACTGTTGGCGCCGGGTGTTTCTTGCTGGCTTTAAATGTGCTGGTCTTTGCTGGGATCTATCTGCAGCGCGGCCGCCGTAGGACCACACATCGCAGGTCTAGAAGAGAAGGTAAGTTTTCATGTTTCGTCTAAAGATAAATGTAAAAGTAATTCTGTAAGAAGTACAATTTCAAAAACTTCAAATTATATTCATTTAAGAGTGTTATTCTTTATTTTGTTCAATCAAATAAATATTGAAGTTTATAGTTATAATGTCATACATCTGTGAATTGTTGTACATTCTTCTGCTTGTGGAGACTGGGCTGCTCTAATCACTTGGATTTTATTTTATTTAGTTACTTAACTAGTTGCTCGTGTATTTAACATTTTGATACTGAGTTGGAAGTTTCCACAAATTTCAACTTAAAAATTAAATGTTACAACAATTGTTTTAAAAGAGAAACACGCAAATTTCTAGATCGTTCTTCTTATGATGAGACTTTCCGAATGAGAGATAGATTAAAAAAAATATTACTTTTCAAAAGTGCTTAAATTAAAGTTAGTTTAAATAAATAATTTTCTATTCTGAACTAATCTCACAGAGAGAAAAATTGATGAGATTATTTTTTGTTTTAAAGATTTTGATCTCAGAAATTAGACTGGTATCGACAGTGTCTCATTAATTATCGACAGGAAGCTGCAGTAGTCGCACAAGAGCGGGGTCTCTCAGTAGCGATCCGACAACCATCACTTCGCCTCGAAAGAGTACACTCAAGGTAAAGATATCCTACAATATACCAATAAACAGTACGTGATAAATTTTACCACCTAATCTATCCAACAATACGGTAGTACAAATCCGCGTATGTTAGATTTAGAATAACGTTATTTAACTGTAACGTTACTACATATATGCCAAATTTCTGCCTAACTGTTTATCTAAATATTATAAACTGAAATAAAAATTAATGTAGTTATATTAAGATAGATGGTAACCTTTATTGCCAACATTAACAGATTAACAAGCACAGAATCAATAAAAAACATATAAAATTGGCAACAGAAACTGCCTCAGCTGTTGCTGATAAATTTGACCCGAATAAAGATACTATTATGGATTAAAACACATTTATATTTTAGAAACATGTTTTTAATGTGTATACTTGTATTGAGGCTTACATGGAATGATTATATTTGAGTACCCTACATATTTGACTTTTTTGATAAAAAGTTATATTGAGGGTGACAATAAAAGACACACACAATTATTGTTATACAACATACCTTTCCCTCAAGCTTAACACTAATATTAACAAACTCTTGAAAAAAATCAACAATGTATGGTTATCCTATTTACAATCTATCATAAGGGAGTTTAGAATGTCCTTTGGGTTTGTTTCTAATCTTTCCCACATTTGATGTTGATGGTATTCCCAGCATGTCCGCCCATTGGTCACAACTGGGTATCTCAATTATATCTTGCTCCTGCACTGTTTCCCATGTCTGATCTTCACCTAAGTTTTCATTTGTCAATTCCTGCTCCACTTCTGCTACCTGTTCTTGTATTTCACTTTCTGTCCCCTGTGTTCTTAACTCTTCTGTCTCTGTGTCCTTAAGTGTTACCAATTGATCTATGTGTCTATGCATACACTCTCCATTTTCTGTTTCTATTCTATAGCTAGAAGGACCCTCCTTCCCTATTATTGTTCCAGATTTCCACTTTTCACCTTCAGCATAGTTCCTGTACATTACTTTCTTTCCAACTTGAGTTTCACGATTCTTCCTATTTGCATTATCTATAATCTGATTTTCTGTCTTTCTGTAATGATTGATATTTGGGTGAACAGTGTCTAATAAAGTCCGCAGCTGTCTATTCATCAATAATTCGGCTGGACTTCTCTTAGTTGATGTGCAAGGCGTACTACGCAATGTCAGCAAAATTCTTGGTAATTTTACTTCCCAAGGTACATCTGTCATCTTTTTTAGTTTATTTTTTAAAGTTTGAACCATTCTCTCGGCCTGCCCGTTGGTGGCGGGATGATATGGTGCTGTCCTAATGTGTTTTATTTTGTTAGCCACTAAAAAGTCCTCAAAATCCTTTGACACGAAAGATGTACCATTATCTGATACCAATGTTTCACAAAGCCCGTGTTGCGCAAAAATATATCGTAAATGTTTGATAACAATGCTAGATGCCATAGAATTTACAATGTGAACCTCAGGCCATTTTGAATATGAGTCTACTACTATCAAAAATATTTTATTTTGAAAAGGTCCTGCAAAATCAACATGAATACGGGACCATGGTCTAGCAGGCATAATCCATTCATGTGATGATCTTGTTGGCATATTTCTATTTTCTAAACAGGAATGGCAGTTGCTGATCATCTTCTCTATATCTCTGTCCATTTGTGGCCACCATACATAACTCCTAGCCAGAGCTTTAGTATGTACTATACCATTATGAGTTTGGTGTAATAGTTTTAACATGTCCTCTCTAAGTTTATTTGGTAATACCACACGACTTCCCAATAAAATACAGCCATCTTGTATACTCAACTCCAAGCGATGTAACCAATATGTATGTAACTCTTTATCTGTAATTCGGGCTGGCCACCCTTTTAAAATGAACCATTTTACTCTATGGAGAGTTGGATCTCCAGAAATTGCTCTTTCAATGTCTTTTGGACCAAATGGCAAGTCATGTGGTGTTTCTGCTATTAAGAGAACCTCCCCTGGAGTATCAATATCTTGAGATGATACTGGCATTGGCCAGCGGCTAAGTCCATCAGCATTACTAATTTCCTTACCACGTTTATATTCAATTTCATAATCATGTGCTGCTAAGGTCAAACATATACGAGTCAATCGTGGTGAAAGAATATCTGGTATCTTCTTCTTAGTCCCAAATATTCCCAGAAGCGGTTTATGGTCCGTTATAATTGTAAATCGACGACCCATCAAATAATTGTTGAATTTTTTAATCCCAAACAGAATTGCTGTGGCCTCTTTATCTAATTGAGAATATCGTCTTTCATGTGGGTGTAGTGTTCTTGATCCCATAGCTATTGGTTTCTCATCACCATTAGCCATAATATGTGCCAGAACGGCTCCTACCCCATAGTCTGATGAATCACAAGTTAAAATCAGTTTCTTCTTTGTGTCATAGTGTGTAAGACAGACATCATTTGCAAGTAAACTTTTTGCGGTATTAAAAGATTGTTGTTCCTCTTTACTCCATTTCCAATCCTGCTTTTGGTCCAACAATCTATGTAGTGGCTCCAAAACTGTTGCTTTGTGAGGTACAAAGCGTTCATAAAAATTATATAATCCAAGGGATGCTTGAAGTTGCTGAACATTCCTTGGAGGTGGCGTGTTTATTATTGCATTAATTTTACTTTTTGCAGGGTGTATACCCTCGGCATCTATTAGAAATCCCAAGAATTCAACTTGCGTCTTTCCAAACTTACACTTGTTTTGATTAAGCTTTAGTCCCTTGTTTGTTAAACGTTGCAGAACAATATTCAGTCGAGTTTTCATTTCATCTAGTGTATGACCAGTAATAATAATGTCATCAAGCAGAACAGCAACTCCTGGGACATCTGCAAGTAATGCTGTCATTGCTCGCTGGAAAATACCTGGGCTGGCTTTAACACCAAATGCTAGTCTATGTACTGAAAACAGACCTTTGGTTGTATTTAATGTCATTAGTTTTGATGTCTGTTCATCAACTGGCACCTGTGTGTACGCTCGATCCAGGTCCAAAGTTGTAAAAAATCGTCCTCCTGCCAGGAGCGCAAAAATTTCATTAGCAGTCGGCATTGGGTATGTATCCGATTCTGTAGCTTGATTCACTGTGCTTCGGTAATCACCACACAATCTAATGCTGCCATCTTTTTTTACAATGGGTACTACGGGAGTTGCCCATTCTGAATACGGTATGGGTTTCAATACACCGTCTTTGACCAAATTGTCTATCTCTTGTTCTACGCGATCTTTCAGAGCATATGGTACTGGTCTCGCCTTTATAAATTTAGGGACAGCTCCTGGGACTAAATGTATTGCTACAGGCTCTCCTTTGTAGGTACATAAGCCATGTGAAAAAATATTTTTATATTTATTTAGTAAGTCTTCACACTGTATGCCCTCATGCTCTATTAAATTTATATTATTTATAGAAATATTTAGAGGTTGAAACCAGTTCCGACCCAACAAATTAGGGCCTTTTCCTTTAGCAACAATAACTGTTAATGGACATTGCTTATAATTATATGTCACATCAACATCTAATTGTCCTAGTAAGTGCAGTGATGTATTTGTCCATGTTGATAACCGTAGAATCATTGGTTGTAACTTATTCCTTAAGTATTTAGGCAATTTTTCAAATGTATTTACATTTATTATTGAATATGATGCCCCCGAATCTATTTCCATTTTTGTCTCGCAACCATTCAATAAAACATCAACCTGTATAGGCGGTATTCTCTGTAGATTATTTATATTATTCACACAATATATACCGTTGAGCGAATCATTATTCTGAATATTCGAATCTTCCTCAGTTGTGTAACGGATATTCTGATTTTTACGTTTCTGTGTACAAATTTTCTCTAAATGCCCAATTTTTTGACAAAAATTGCATTTAGAGTTCACATGTCGACATGTACCACTATGTTTATCACCACATCGATAACAGAATCTGTATCTATTATTGGTGGTATTTTTGTCACGTATGGCACCAATATCCATTGGTTCAAATGTTGAACTGGATGTACTTGGGGTCGGCTGCACTGCACGCATCATTGTGACGTCACGATGTGCTGTTTCTGCTGCTGTTAGACAATCCACCACTTCCTTGTATGTTAAGTTGTCTCGTTTCAGTAACTCAAATTTCAATTTCTCATCTTGCATGCCACATACTAAACGATCACGAAGATTTCGTTCCAAATTACTAAAGTTACAATGTGCAGCTATTTTCCTCAATTCTGTTAAGTAATCGAGCGCCTTTTCGCCTTCCCTTTGGTTGCGGTTGTAAAATTTGTAGGACATGGTGATTTCATTAGATTTAGGTGTATAATGTTTTGTCAATAAATCAACCACATAGTTAAAACTGACTTCATGTGATTTTCTTGGTATTATCAAAGCTAGCACCGTTTCAAACACCTCAGAGCCACAAATTGTATAGAAATTAGCAAGTTTCACATTATCGTCGCAAATTCCATTTGCCACAAAACAATAATTTAGCCTATCTATGTAGTGGCTAAAATCTTCATTCCCGGGTCGGTACTCGTGGAATTTAATGGCTTGCATGTTTGTACATTTATTATCACTATAAATTTATCACTCGTCGCCAATATTATGGATTAAAACACATTTATATTTTAGAAACATGTTTTTAATGTGTATACTTGTATTGAGGCTTACATGGAATGATTATATTTGAGTACCCTACATATTTGACTTTTTTGATAAAAAGTTATATTGAGGGTGACAATAAAAGACACACACAATTATTGTTATACAACAGATACTAATATTGCAAGTTGCATAAAAACATGTACAATAGATAGAACTAACATATCAATGGATTTTCACAGCGCAGCAGCGAGTCAGAACTAAAAGAGAGACCCAACAACGCCGCGCCGCCAAAAAAACGCGTCCAAATCCAGGAGATATCTGTTTAGAAGACTATTGACAGTCTGAGAAATGAACATTTCGTTTTGAAATTGTGTAAATGAGTTTACTCGCGTATATTAATGAATACGATAACGTACGATATAGTATGTATATGTAGTTGTCGTTAAAATTAAACATTTATGTGCAAATTGTATGAACTATGAAAAAAAATTAAGAGAATTATGTTAATGAAATATTAATTCTTGAAGTTTTCTTCACTTTAGCAAATCTAACAGGGAAGTATTTTAGACGTCTTAATAATAAAGTATACAAGATTAAACGATATGAAATATCTATTACTAAATATACATAAACCTACATAGCAATGTTATCTAAATTGTACGTAAGTAAACTCGTTTCTTTGTTAACTATAACTCTAAAATGTGAACTGTAAATTTATACTCTGCATTTAATATCACTTGATGCATCTGAGGATAACTTGTATCGGATTATATTATTATATATTAGGACAATGTCACTTGTATCTACCTCCTGACCAATTAAATCATTAGTGTCTGTTGGCTCTACGTACAATGATCTGTTTTATTTATATATCTGTTATCGTTTAACGTTAATCTGTTATTAATTATTCCTGTTGATGTTTCTGTTTCATATATTGTATATATATTATCAAATATTAATATATTTAAATCTCGTAGAATGTAATCAGGAATGGTGCAGTAATTCTTTAGTATTACCTGAAATTGTATTCATATTGAGCACAACTATGATTGTTGTTTTCTGTTCAAATATTCCAATAATTTCTATATTAGTTACTAAACATTAAACTTTAGTAATAATATTTTATACATTTATTAAATAATCATAAATAACTTCACGTTAAATAATGATCAGTCTTTTAGTTGTCGAGTATATGTTGTGAGAATTTTATAAAGTATTTCTTTACTCTAGAAATATTTATTATTTATACACGGTGACTCCGTTTAATTCTAATGTGAAATAGTATGTTGTGTATAAACTTTGCGACTTATTAGTTGTCTCTGGACTAAAATTAATAGCATATGTTTATTTACTGTCTCATAGAGACAAATATTGTATGGAACTTGTTCAAAATCGTCATGTTTATTAAACAGAATTATTTCATTATCTATAGAAGTAAAGATTACAATAATTTCAATACAAATCCTAGTAATTTACTTATTGTTAACTGTAGCGAACTACTTGAAGAGTTTTAAAACTATTTTTAAGTTTTAAAACAATATTCTTTGACATCTTTATTGTTACTTTCTATTATATATCGCTGTCATATTAGTAGTATTTTATTTTATCTCAATATTTTCCTTTTTAAAACCCTCAGGACCTCTCACTCATCAGACACATTAGATACCTTCGCTTCAGTTAACAATAATATTATTGTTCGTGTTAAACAAATTCTGTTTCACACAATGCAATATAGCTTATTTCTACAAGTATACATTGTAAAAATACACAAGCATATAGGAAAATTAAAAAAATAGTATTCCGGCCGTTAAACAAATGTAATAAAAATCAAACAAAATATTTTTATTTGAATGGACCCTTTTGAATGCTTTTGATTCGTTAATTTCTCTAGTTGGCGCCGTCGTGTTTGTTTTATCGAGTACGGTACCCGTTTTTTTTGACTGGAAATAATTTTGTTTAATATTATTCAGCGTGTATATATTGTATTTGTAATTTCTCATCAAATATGTATGTTAAGGACGTCTGTATATAGTATTACGATTAGATATGTAACACCTGTTGCTGTAAATATTAGAAATTGTCGTCAATATCTGTGCAGACTGGTGAGTACGCCAGTTATGAGGTTTTTATTAAAGACCATTTTTTCCTGGATGATATCATTTTATTTTCGATATACCTACTCATTTGCATATTAACATTAGTATTGGGAAGTTTCAGTAATGATACGTCGATGCAGCAGTACTTTTATTTTATTCTTTTCTCAAATTACACTCCACATAAATTACGTCGCTGTACATTCACGTGTGGTCGTCTCGGTCGCCTCGAACAGAGTGAGAGCAGCCCGCCCCTCTATCTCTATTCCTATTGGTGGCGTCATAATCGTGACGTCACCAACATCACGTCACTATGATTTTAAATTTGAAATGTAAGTAACAAATTAGTCAACTGAGTGTTCTTTATGTATTGAAGCTGACAATAGATAGAATATAATTTATTTGTAACACACAGTAAAGAAAAGGGGTAAACAATATATTAAAGGACAACATGTGTCGTTACAATATGGCGGTCTTATTGCTGAAAGTAATCTTTTCAAGGCAACCTTAGGGATACGGATTGAAAAATGAACAGGTAGATAATATACATACAGGAGAAAACTAAAAACAAACAAATATATAATGATGATTGAGGAAATTAATAATAAGTATTATTATTATTATATGAATTGAAATTAAATTGAAAACATAACAAGCATATATGTATTAAATTAGATACACTTACATGAACTACATATATATTACTAGCTGTCCCGGCAAACGTTGTTTTGCCATATAAATTAATAACGCTATAAAAAATAGGGGTTGATGATAGAAGGGTGAAAATTTAGGATTGTACGTATTTTTGTATGTTGTATCATAAAAAAATAGAAACTAAAAATTTTGTCTAAAAAAAAAAAAAAATTTAGGGGTGGACTACCCCTAACATTTAGGAGGATGAAAAATAGATGTTGGCCGATTATCAGACCTACTCAATACGCTCACAAAATTTCATGAGAATCGGCCAAGCCGTTTCGGAGGAGTATGGGAACGAAAACTGTGACACGAGAATTTTATATATAAGATAAACTACATACATAATTTTTAAAGTAAAATACAATAAACTAAATATAAATCAAAATGCCATACTGAAATCTTAATATTGAGGAGGAAATCTTTTACTTGTCGTTTAAAATATGAATAGACTTTTCAGTTCTGATAGTAACGAGTTCTATAAATTAGTAGTATAGTATTGTTTCTTTATGTAATAACTAGCTGTTAACCGCGACTTTAACCGAGTGGTTCAATATTTAAAAATACTATATATACTACAAGTAGGCTTACTCACTCCTTATAACATTACGTATCTGCGAGTGAAAGTCCCAACAAAATCGATTACAGTCTGAAATCGATTTTCAACATAATTTACTACAGTATTGTACTCTTTAAAAATATCAACAAAAAAGTCCGGGATGGTATATGTCTATCTCTTAAGGATTTTCTCTTTCACATTTTGGATTAATTTTTATCCAATTAAGTTAAGGTACTTAATTGGATAAAAATAATACATTGTCCATTTAATATAGATCAATATGGCCATTTACAGCATGTAATTTAAATGAATATTTCCGAAGATATTACAGATTCAAAATGCAGGGACATAGCGGTGCGGCGGTACACCCCTCCGATCGATCCCCCATCCAATTCAAACGGGGATCGAAATTACGACGGCCTGAGCCGAGGTTCGAACCCGTAGTGGTGTCCTCAGACTAAAGTCGTATCCGTCAGGCAGGAATTGGCCTTCAGCCGCTCCATAAGTCCTTCCGCGGGTTTGGAGTGCCATCTGCACTCGCCCCCTAACGTCGGGTGAAGCTGTAAAGGCCAGCTGCGGCCAACAGCATTAGAGTAGTCCGAAAAAAAAACCGAGGACCGAAAGACGCAGCGTGGGAAGCCTACAGGTGGGCCGACGATCTGGTCAAGATCGCTGGAAGGTATTGGATGCGAGCAGCGCAGGACCGATCGTCGTGGAGATCTTTAGGGGAGGCCTTTCTTCAGCAGTGGACGTCTTCCCGGCTAAGATGATGAAGCACTTTTGAATTGTCATATTTTTTTTTATTCTACCACTGATTTTAGGTTTAGTATAAGCACTGCACCTGTCCGAGGGTCGCGAAGAAATAGCAAATAAAGAAATCCACAAGCGATTCTAGCAATATGAAGTTAGCTTAAGAAGTTATTTAAAACTATCTATTCCCGTGACTTCGTCCGCGTGGAATTTAACTTTATTTTTCTAAAATAAAAGTAGCCTAAGTTACTCCTTATTACATCAGTTACCTGCTAAAAAAAGTCCCGTCAAAATCGGTCCAGCCATTTCAGAGATTAGCCGGAACAAACAGAACGACAGACAGACAGACAAAAATTATAAAAAATGATATTTTGGTATATGTATCGCATATATACTCATATGCATGTAGTAAAAAATGGTTATTTCAATATTACAAACAGACACTACAATTTTATTTATATGTATAGATTACCAAGATTATTACCAAGATTTAAGCAAACACTAAAGAGATAAGATAAGATGATGTTGAAGTTTGAATCAGTGCTCTTGTCTGCTGTAACAGATAGTAATCGGACCTTCAGTTCCTTTAGTTACGAATGATGAAGGACACGCGTGACCATGACACCTGTAGACCTCAGCTGAGATAATCATTATCTCGTAATGCTTATCAACAGACTATTACTGTTTATAACAGACTAGCTACTCGTTCCTGCTTCGCACGGGTGTACATGTATTATATATAAACCTTCCTCTTAAATCACTCTATCTATTAAAAAACCGCTTCAAAATCCGTTGCAGAAATTTTAAAGATTTAAGCATACATAGGGACAGACAGCGACAGCGAGTTTGTTTTACAGTAAGTAACTAGCTACTCGCCAGGGTTCGCACATATGTACATGTGTTATATATATAATCCTTCCTAATTAATCACTCTATCTATTAAAAAAGACCGCTTCAAAATCCGCTGTGCAGTTTTAAAAATTTAAGCAGACATAGGGACAGACAACGCGAGCGACTTTGTTTTATACTATGCAATAATAATGATTTAAACTTGTTTTATCGTAAGGTATCAAAAATGTACCGTCAAAATCGGTCCAGCCATTACAGAGATTAGCCGGAAAAAAAGACAAAAATTGTAAAAAATGTTACTTTTGTGTACGTTAACGGTTATTTTTATATTATTAACCGATACTACAATTTTATTTATATAATAATAATCTCAGAACAATTCACACAGCGCCATCCAGTCCCACGTTAAGCTAACTATAGCTTGTGTTACGAGTACTAGATAACTGATACAAGTACATAAATATTTTTTTTCGTAAATACATACAAATTATACATAGAAAACACCCAGACCGATACAAACAATCATACTCATGAATACAAATGTTTGTGCCGTGCGAGGATCGAACCCGCGACCATCTGACGTAAAGCGGTGAGCTAAACCGCTAGACCACCGAGGTCGTCAGATTATATATATAATGAAAATTGATATAAAAATTCTGTCTGTCTATATCACACTGCAATGCGGTAAATCCGAAAATGACAAACACATTCTTACGATAAACTCTGAATGCGTATATTTAGTAAGTATCTACACCCACATGTTATACTACAGTACTTGATCAAAATACATTAAAAAGCTTTTACGTTACGCGTGTTTGTACTCCTACATAAAGGTAAATATATATAAAAAGTTAATAGACACTTTGCTAACACAAAAACAATGATTGATTCAAAAAACTCAATACTCAGTGTAGTAATAATAATAATAATCTCAGGACAATTCACACAGCGCCATCTAGACCTAAGTTAAGCTAGCTAAAGCTTGTGTTATGGGTAATAGACTAGACAACTGATACAAATACATATGTAATTTATTTTTCATAAATATATACCTATTATACATAGAAAACACCTACACCGATACAAACAATCATACTCATTGTTCAAAATCTACCCGGTATCATCGTAAGTACAGATTATTATATTAGAGTCCGTTAGTTTCTGCGCCCCTCCCTTACCTAGTACTGAACTGACCGTACAGCGGCCTTGACGCGCGCGCGCATTTGTTGTGAATTAAAATAAATTAGAACTGTGTTAAACCTACTGTGAATCCTACTGTGAAACCTACTGTGAAACTGGAAAGCTAGCGAAGATATCTTCGAGACCCTGAAGCCCAAGAAATCTGCAGAACCATACAGGTACGTGACAGACGTTTTTCTCTATATATATACATAGTACTTTCCCTAACATTTTGGTAGCAGAGAGTAAATTCCCTAACACTCATGTTTGTGCCGTGCGAGGAATCGAACCCGCGACCATCGGACGTAAACCGGTGTGTTAAACCACTGAGGTCGTCAAACATAGTTACTAATAATAATAACGCAGTACAAAATTATAACAGAAATAATTTTAATTTTATATTGTTAGGTGAGAAAGATATTATGAGTGCGGGATTTTTTTTAAGGATTGTCAAGAATCCTTCAAATAAATCTCCGAACTCTGCAGATGAAGGTTTATTTGAAGGATCCTTCAATCCTGTGATCTTCAATGAAAATCCTGTAAAATTCAATTCTGTATACTGTTTTAAAGCGAGCGATCGAGCGATCTACTGTATGAAGAGTCGTGAATCATTAAGAGAGAATTTCAAAGAGGCAAATATTCTCACCGTTGCTTCTCAGTTTATATATTCAAATATCCTATATGTTC